AACCCCCCCATCTCCTCCATTCCCAGGACACCCCCCCACACCCCCCCCTCCCTTTTCCCATCACCTCGGTACCACCGCGACTGCCGCAACCCTTCTCCGGCAGCTCCTCGGCAGCCCCACCGAGCCCGGAGGCGGCGAAGGCCGCATCGATGCCATCCCCGATGTCTCGCATGTCCTCCAGCGCGATGGTGAACTGCGCCAGAGTCCTCACCATCTGCAGCATGCGGGTCCCGGGGGTCGGTCCGTCCCACGCGGCCCAAGGAATAAAAAAAATTTTATATATATATATATATATATATATATGCCCCCAGGTCCCCCCTTTAAAATAGCCAGAACGCTGCACTGGGATGCAGCGAGGAGGGAAATAAAATAGAGGAGCTATTTATATCAATAGGGTTCTGTGTGTGTGTGTGTATATATATATATATATAATAAAAAAAAAAAAACCCTCCCGCAGAGCGGCTGCAGGATGCGTGCGCCTGCGTCCGTGGCGGCACGCGGGTCCCCGGCCCCGGGTGCTACCGAGGCACGGGCAGGCGAGAGCAATCGGCGATGGAGGCAGAGCCGTGCCCACACACACAGACACACACGCGCGGATGCAGGCAGGGCCCAATCCTGCCGGGGGGGATGCTGTTGGAGAGGCTTTGACCGAGGAGGATGCTGTATTGGGGGAAGATGGGCGATGCTTTCTTGGGGTTTGTGATTTTTGGGGAGGGGGAGTGCAGAGATGATGCTGGGTTGGGGTGCTCAGCATCCTTGGGGTCTCCATCCCTAACAATGGGGGGGGGGTCCGGGTACCGTGTCCCCCTCCCTGACCTTGCAGAGAGGGAAACTGAGGCACGGAGCAAGCCTGCCCCCCCCTCCCCCACTGCCCCTACATCAGCACCTCAGCATCCACATCCCTGCTTGCCGGGTGATGCACCCTGCCCGGATCTGTTTGTAACACTCCCCTCCTGCTTCGTTAATTAAATCTAATTAGCCACTCACCCCGTTTCCACAGCAACAGCGTGCAGCAGGGCTGCGTCCTCCCATTGCAGCCAGTAAATTTCCTCTTGGTAATGAGGATGATGAGCATCCTACCCCGGGCAGGGAGCTGGGGGGGGCAGGATTGGTGCATAACACCCATCCCACACCCCCCCGGCCCCCTCCCCACGGTGCACAGCAGAGAACAGCCAACTTGGTGCATATAATGAGAGGGGAGCTGCAGCAGCTTTAAATACACCCTGGCACTGGGATCAGGGAGGAGGGACCCGCAGCACCCGGCGTGGGCACGATGGGTGCCTGCGCTGTACCCGGTACGGCTAATTGCGTTAGGGCTAATGAGGCTGTTTGCAAGGCAGCAGCTCCTGCAACTCCTTCTGCAGCACCACGGTCGTCCCAGACCCATCTCTGTTGTTGCAATCCCAGACCCATTTAGGTTGCAATCCCAGACCCATCTCTGTTGTTGCAATCCCAGACCCATTTAGGTTGCAATCCCAGACCCACCTGGGCTGCAGTCCCGGGCCATTCTGGGTTCCAATCCCAGACTCTCCGGGGCTGCGATCCCAAACCCATCTCAGTTGCTGTCCCGGGCCCACCTGTGTTGCAATCCTGGACCCATATGGGTTGCAGTCCTGGGCTTTTCTAGGATCCAATCCCACACCCATTTCTGTTGTAATCCCTGTTTTCTTTGGGTTGCAATCCCAGACCCATCTGGTTTCCAGTCCCAGACCCATTTGGGCTGCAACCCCGGGCCCATCTGCATTGCAATTCTAGACCTATCCAGCTTGCAATCCCAGACCCATTTCTGTTGCAATCCCAGACTCTTGCGGGTTGCAATTCCAGACCCACTCGGTTTGCAATCCTGGGTCCATCTGGGTTGCAATCCCAGGCTCGTTTGGGTTCCAGTCCCCAATCCGTCTGGCTTGCAATCCCAAACCTATTCCTGCTGCAATCCCAGACCCATCAGGGCTGCAACGCTGGGCCCATCTGCATTGCAATCCTTGATCCATCTGGGTTGCAAACCCAAACTCATTCCTCTTGCAATCCCTGCCTCATTTAAATGGCAACCCCAGCCCCAGCTGGCCTGCGATGCTGCAACGCCACGACGCTGCGACGGTGACCCGGCCGCTCCGCCTGCAGCAACTCCCTCGAGCCCTCCCATGGGATCGCCTGTCCCTGGAGCGAGCAGGAGATCCATCCATCCACAGAGCATCCTTCCCACTCCCCGACCACCACCCTTGAAACCATCCCTTCATTTAACGCAGCATCTTCCCACAGTAGCTTCGCATGTAGATTCTCCAGTGTCTACTATTAAGGCTGAGCTTTCCGCCCGATG